ACTCGTGCAACGGGCAAACGGACCCCTCTCACGTTATGCCGGAGTAACTTTATAAAGAACAACGATTAGGATCGGGGCGCTTCGACAACTCCAAAGCAAACACTTGGGGAGCCACAATTTGTTTAGGAAAGACTTGGCTTCAACACGCGCTCCAGTGCCGCCCCCCCCAGAAGGGAGCTTCGGGCAGAAAGCCCCTCCCCCCACAAGTGGCTCAACAAAGACATAGACGCGGGGGGGGGAGGATGAGCCCCCCTCCCTGGACAACTGCCAATGGTTACCACTGGAAGCCGGATTTCACCGAGTGGATTTGGGGAGAGGGGGAAGAGACAGGTGTCGAGAACTCCCCTCCCCAAATGGGGGAGAGCGATCCCGGGGAAAGAAAAAGGAGCAGAAGACGAACTCCATTAAATACAGGATGGATAGCCGTGTTAGTCGGTCTGTAGCAGCAGAAAAGAGTCCAGGAGCACCTCAAAGACAAACAAAATGTGTCTTACTCCCCCTCTAACAATGTAGGCGCACAACAACCCTGTGAGGCAGGCTGGGCTGAGAGAGGGAAACTGACTCAAGGCTACCCAGGGAGCGTCACTACCCAGTTCCACACTGCAACACGTGGTCCACGGGCTATTCGATTGGAAGCTCCTTGAGGGCAGAACCGGGAACCCCTTATAAAACTTGGCTGAAATTTAGTTCGAAAGCTCTGTAAGAGCAGGGAAACCCCCCACCCCCGAGGTTTTGTAAAGCGCCGTGTGTGCCTCGGTGGAACTGCACACTTGTATGAAATTATCTTCGCCTGATGAATTTCTCTCTACTAGCTAGCCGTTAAAGTACTAAAACCAATCTTGGCGGGGAGGGAAATAGCAGGGAAAAAAAGGAGCTTAGCCCGTCGGTCTGACAAATAAGCCTCGCCGTTAACTTCTCTGAGGAAGAAATAGGACAGCCCTCCCCTCCCCTCTCTTTAGAAAGAGGGCCAGGATGGAGAATCATAACTTCCTGAGTCTTTCTTCCTGCGCATTCTGAAAGAAATCCTGAGCGGAGAGCTAATCAACCGGAGGGTTCCCTCTCTCCAAATTAATGATAATAACAATAGTAGTTTGATTGGAGGTTTCTAGAAACACGTGACCAATCGCTGTCTTCTTTGTGTGTGTGTGTTTTTTGGGGGGTGGCTTGATACCAAAATTGCCCATAGGAGTGACCCCTCTTCCCCCTCCCCCGTATTTCGAAAACAGATCCAGTCTTATTAAGGATAACATCAGTATAGTTATCTGAAGAAGTGTGCGCGCACAGGAAAGCTTATACCCAAAGAAAGATGGACACCACAGAAAACTGTTTGAGTCCAAACGCACCTTGAAGACCGACAGAGTTTTTAAAATTCAAGCTATAAGCTTTCGTGTGCAAGCACACTTCTTCAGATACACGAAAGCTTATACCTTGAATAAAACTTCGTTGGTCTTAAAGGTGTCACTGGACTCAAACTTTGTACAGGTTTCCAGACGGCATGGGAATGCCTGGCTGCGCTTAGTCAAGGAAATGCCCTCTGTACATTCTCAGAGACACTTCGTTGGTGCTACTTGCCGGGTTTAATAGACTGGCCCTGAATTCTGAGATCGTTGGGAAACCGAGGCTCTGGCGCCAGAAAAGCATTCCTCATCTCTTCCACCAGTCTGGCCGGGAGGAGTCAAGATACCTTCCGGGGCTGCGAGGAAAGCCCTTTGCCAGTTGCCAAACACACTGAATATTTTCATTGGTTATTGCTGCTCCTGATCCCCTTCGGAAACCGCAGACAGAAACAGAATGAAACGCAGAATTCTTGACTTGGAACAAAGAGCTCTACTGTCATTATTACTGTCATTATTTTTTGAACGTATTAATAAACGCCATTGAATAAAAAGGGAGAATAGGGATGCGGACATAAGTCGACTTGCGATCAACAAGGTTTACTCCAAAGTAAGCGGGCATAGGGCCGCAGCTTTATTCATTCCGATTAAAAAGTTCAGAGCGCATTTCTAACGTCTCAGCCTCGGAGGCGAAGCAGGTTTCCTTCGAGTCCATCATGGGAAGCCAAAGAGCGGCGGGGTCAGGAAGGCTGCGATCCCAGAGGCGCTCTTCTGATTACAGTGGGACAGACTTCGCAGCAGACTTCTGAGTAGAAGCACAGGGGCGACGACTCGGAAGTCAGTCTACTAGTAATCATTCCGTGGGGTTTACTCCCAGGAAAGTGTACATAGGACTGCTACTACCTTGGCAACACTTTCTTGGGAGTAAGTGCCATTGAACACGGGGGAACGAAGTCCGAGGAGACATGCCTACAAGCGCGCGATGACTTCCCCACTCCTCAAGGCATTTCTTAAAAGAAAGAAAGCCCCTTCCAGGTCTATTTCAAATTTGGCTCTCGTCGAGGGAGAGGGGTAGGACCGAGGGCATTGGACTTAACTCGAGGTAGAAAGAACGGAGGCCATTCCTTGTACCTGCCCTTTTCGAGGCCTTTCCAAAATATGACTCACCCCTAGACACACGCAACACTTTGCAACAGTTCTCCAGATCCACCCACCTCCCCAAAAACTCGATTCCCAGAAACAGCTCCCCCCCCCCGCCCCATACTAAGGATGCTGCTGCCAGAAATTTCGCCACACTACAGTTAATAAACAACGTTTCTGTGATTTTCGGTATAACTGGTCAGCAGTGACGAGAATCAAGCCGACGGAAGACCTACTTGGAAGTAAATCCCACTAATCAAAATGGGATTTACACGCTTGTAAGTACGGAAGGGAGTGCGACCGTACAGCCCGCTAGTCCTCTGTCGTTCCAAAGAACCTGTTGGCCGATTTTCTGCGTGTCTACTCGTGAGTAAGGTACGCTGAATGCTATGCCCCTTACTCCAAAGAAAGCACTCACGGGACCTGTGGCTGCAGTCCGGTGCACACTTGATTGGGAGTTAAACCCGTTGAATGAAGTGGGACTTACTTTGGAGTAAATAATCGTAAAAGTGCACTGTTAACTGCAACAACAAATTCTTTGGAAATTTCTTTTCTCCTTCGTAGCTTAGGTGCATGACCGCATCTTTAATAACGTCCTAATATTAATAAGATTATGACGGCGAGGGTAATAATTTGTAGCATTTATTAACTCTCTCTTTGCCTCTGGGAATTCACAATGGCACGGCTTTTCATTTATCCCCTGGAAACTTTCCCAGCTGATCGGGAGAGAAGGCTGTGCTGTATTGATCGGAGACACTGGAGGGGTTTTCTTTTCTTCTTTTTTAAACCGAAAAACGCCAAATTAACGTGCCCCCCCATTTACCCACAGTATATGCGGGCTGCATTATCTGCCTTCTGCTTCCCCGTTTTGCAAAGTCGGAGAGCTTAACCCCTTCCTGATCTTGCCCCTTCGCCAGAGCTTGAGCTGCTTGTTCCATCCATTTCAAGACCATCCTACCACCAGTCCAAGGCAAATGGTGTACAAAATGTCCTGGGCAAACATGATGTGATGAGCTACCCCCACCAACTCAT